GTCTTTGGGCCTGCATTTAACATCTTTGTGCCTGTTTCTTCATATATAAAATGGGAGTGATAATAATATCAGTACCCATCACAGTTATGAGGATTAGTTGAATTTAATTCATGAAAAGCTAAGATTAGTGCCTGGTACACAGTAAGTGCCAGTAAATGTTAACTTTATTACTATTGAATTCTAGCCCAGAAAAATACCGCATACAAAATGCTCTTGTTTATTCAGTGTAAGTTGAACATATTTAATTTTTTTCACAATGACTTTGCAACTATTACAACAGGAGAAAAAGTATTTCATTCCAGAATATGTGGAATGTAATAAGTTTTCTCAAATTTTAAAATAGCCAGTGGCTTATATTTAAATTTTTTAAGTTTATTTCTTTATTTTGAGAGAGAGAGAGTGCGCCAGGGAGGGGCAGAAAGTGGGGAAGGGAGGGCTTGTGGGTAAGAGAATCCCAAGCAGCTTCTGCACTGTCAGCAAGAGCCCAGCATGGGGCTCGAATTCACGAACTGTAAGATCATGGCCTGAGCTGAAACCAAGAGTCGGATACTGAAACCAACTGAGCCACCCAGGTGCCCCTCAGTGGTTTATATTTTAAAGGAGTTCAAGTAAATTACTAATTTTTGTGCTTTTGAAACTAAGCTCTTATTATTGGCCCTATTTAGAATCTTTTTATGTTTTTATTTTTTCTTATCCTTATTCTTGTTTTTTAAGAGACATTAAGAATAAAGCCCATTCTGTGAAACTTACCTTAATACTTGAGCTTTAAGCTGGCAAACCCTGAACCTCTTTTAAAGTTTTGATTGAACATCCTGAAAATTTCTCAAGATATTTATTACCACATATCCCAGAAGTGGTTGCCTGCCTTAACTTAGCACAATCACAGCCTTGGGAGTCATCATTCCAACTATTTTAATCAAATGAAATATTGTAAAGTGAATAAAAGCACTGTATTCTGAAATCTACAAGAACCTGTCTCTTCCCAGCTGTTTAAAGGGCTTTACCATATAAGATTTAGTTAAAATATATAGTATCTCTGCCCATTTACCTAAAACTATTAGTTTTATATTTCTCTTAATGGAATCGAACTGACTATAATTAAATTAATTTTCTTGAGCACTCAGATAATATTTAAGTTGCATCCAAATCTAGTGCAAACTTTACTGCTAAAGGCCTTTAGCTTCTATTTTCTTGGTTGCTTCCCATTTCCAGTTTCTTCTTAAAATACTTCTACTGATTAGTCATTGGTAGGCTGCTTACTTAGTTGCGATGTTAAATTTATAATTCTTCAAAAGAATTGGCAAGTTACCATTTTACATAAGACACATCTGCTTTATGATCGACCTTTAAAGGAATATTTGGTTTCAACTCCAAAGATAGCTGATTCCCTAGACTGCTTCTTTGCACGCTGAGAAATTTAAGGAAATAAAGGAGCATTAATACCTCCTAGCACCATTTTTTCAAACTCTGTTTAGAGTTTGATAAAATGAAGATATTACACATTGACCCTAGGATTGTGATATTATCTGTATTACGTATACTTGCATTTCATTCAGTAAGTATTTATTAAACACCTGCCGTGTGCCAAGCACTATTCTAGGTACTAGCAATGGAACAGTGAACATTCATTCTTTGAATAGTGGGAGGTTTATTATCACTTAGCACCTGTCTTGTTCTCGTTTGAGTGCCTATGAGTGAATTCAGCAGAATCACAGAGTACCATAGAATCTCATAGTTCAGCTGTCTTGTTTATAGATTTTTAAACTCTGTAATTCTGAGACATAAAATAATTGACTAAGATCATAGAGCTAGTCAGTAGCATGGCTTGCTTTTTTTCTTTCAGTTACTTATTCAGCAAAGAGTTGCCTTCTTTTTCTTCCATTCAAGAAAATGGAAGATTTCCACTGCAGTCTGACTTCAGCCCTTTTAATTCCATTAAAAGTTTTCTCCCCAAGATCACTCACAACCTCATCATTGTTTTATGGGATACTTTCTAATCCTTAGCTTGTCTTTTCTGTTATGGCATTTGTCACTATTAAATTACTATCTCCATTTTTTAATGTTTTTTTTTTCCTTAAAAACATTTTCTGGGGCACCTGGATGGCTCAGTTGGTTAAGCATCCAACTGTTGATTTCAGCTCAGGACATGAGCTGATGGTTTGTGAGATTGAGCCCCACATCTAGCTCTGTGCTGACAGCATGGAGCCTGCTTGGATTATCTCTCTACCTCTCTCTCTCTCTGCCTCTCCCATCCACTCACATGTGTGCATACCCTTTCTCTCAAAATAAACATTTAGGTGCAGCTGAGGGGCTCAGTTGGTTAAGCCTTTGTTGATTTTGGTTCAGGTCATGATCTCATGGTTTGTGAATTCGATCCTTGGAGTCAAGTTGAGATTCTCTCTCTCTGCTCCTCCCCTGCTCTTGGTTTCTCTCTTAATAAGTAAACTTTAACAAGTAAATAAACATTTTTTAGAAAACCATTTTTTAATGTTTTCTTTCCAGAATATGCCATATTCTTCTGGTTTTTATTCCTACTCATACCATTTCTTAGATTTCTTCATATGCTCTTCTTTCTTATCCATCTGTTAAATGTTGGTGTTCCCCAAGATACTTTTGTCTACCTTCTCTACATATCCTCATTGAGTGATCTCATCTTCTTCCATCATGTCTGTTGCCGTTTAAATGCCAAGGACTGCCAAATCTTTATTCTTGCTTAAATTCTTTGAACAACATGGCCTTTGAACTCTTATATTCAATGGCCTACTAAACATCAGTAGGATATTTTTCAGGAATCTCAGATCATCATCTCTAAAATTGAACTATTATGTTAGCATTTTTGTGAACTATTACATTAATTATTTCAGTGATAAACACCATAATCCACCTAATAGGTGACTACCTGGAAATTTAGGACTCATCAACAGCCCCATTCTGATTAGTTCCTAAATTCTATGCTGCTGCTTTATAATTTCTCTTCAGTCTATTCACATCTTCACTGCCAACATTTTATTTTCAGACCCTCATTCTAAATTATTCCTATGGCCTTTGTTAATATGTAAGGGAACCAAAGAATAATGATTAAGAGCATGGACTACTTTAGAGTCACAAGAGTAAGATAATCCTACATTTGGATCCTTACCCTATCACTTAGAATCCATGGGTGTTCTGAAGTTGTTTCCTCATGGGTATAAAAGAAATATTAACACTTACTTCATATGGTGGTTGTGAGATTTAAATTTATGGCCCGTAGAACACAGTACTTAGTACATAATTATCACTCAGCAGAAGATTGTATTTATTAACTAGCCTCCCTATTCCATATCATTCTCCATTCTGCTTATAATATTATTCTTTAAAACAAAATTGTAGCACTCTCATAATAAAGATTCTTCTACAGTAGTTCGCTATTGCTAGTAGGATAATAACCAGATGATTTAACACAGAATTTTAAGTGATCTCCTGTTTAAATGGAAATAAATCCTGTTTTCCTCTTCAGCTTTCTCTCTTGCCACTCACCTCCGTATTTGTGTCCCAGCCACAATAAATTAACAGCCTCTCACAAGCATGTTCAGGCTTTTGAACATTTTGCCCTCTGGGATACCTTTTTCTATATAGCTGGATAATTTTTAGTTGTTCAGAGCTCAGCTTACATGTTACCTTCTTTGGGAGCCCTTCTGTGACTACTTTTGACTCTGGATTAGGCTTTCCAACATAGTATTTCTTACATTCTGTTGCAGCTGGCTGTTCTCTTGTCTGTTTCCCCTAATGTATAATGAATCTTTGAAATTAGAGAAGGTCAAAGAATGTTGAGTTTTGGTTATTGGGTGTTCATCTGCAGGAATATGAAAAGTTTTTAAGACAGCATTTTTTTTTGTTTGTTTTACTATTCTGCACAAAATGAGCTTATTCCTTCTTCCAAATACTACACTCATGATAGCAAAAGGAAATGTGTATAATTTTTTAAGTGTCTTTATTTGGGATGTGAAGATCCCCAAAAGGAATTAGTCCTGTCATCTGCACAAAGAGTAGCTTTAAGAACTTTAGTAACAGAATACTTTTTAGAAGTGATTTCTACATCAGCCTAATTTAATTACTCTTCATTACTATTTTAAATATCGATGTAATACTGAATTATCTCATGTGTCTTCCTCATTAGTGAGAATATGAGCTCTGATATCAGACAATCCTGGCTTCAAACTCTTGCTAATAATGACTACTACCAATCAATATAAATGTTAGATTATGTAACACTAAGCCCTCAAACCAGTGCCTGACACATTTAGGTGCTTGATAAATTTAAATTTCCTTTTATACTTTTTAAATGTTTCACATTGAATATTATATGGCCATCTAATTAAATCCTGTTCACTCATTCAATTTTAAATTAAAGCCCATCCTTTTATAAAAGTCCCTCCAGCTCAGCTCTCTCTGCTACAGTTAGAGGTAGAGGTAGTACAAAAAAAAAAAAAAAATTGAACATTTAATTACTCTGTGATTAGCCTAATTCCCTGCTAGGATGTTAACCCCTTGAGGGCAAGGACACTTTTTTAAAATTATTTTTTCTCAAAAAACATTTAGTTTTCTTCCCTTGACATTTTGCAGAGTGCTGAGAATATGGGGGAAATTAAGTGCACATTTGTTGCTTAATGATTTTTTTTCAGTGTGCTGCTCTGCCCCCTCACCTTACTACCAACTAGTATGTATTTTGGAATGTCTAACAATTTTAATATTAACCCAAGTAAACCATATTTATAAAGGAAAACATGTTGGAGGAAATCATACTGAGCATTCCATAGCTAAATAGAATTGAGTGTTTGGGATTATGCCCCTTCCATTAGGATAACTAGGAAATAACTATATGATTTGGTTCCCAACAATAAATTTGGTTTTATGAATTTCCTTAACAGTAAGTCAATTGGCTATTTCCATTTATTATTTCTTACGGATCAGGTTTATAGGATATTGTAATTCATGTTTGCAAATTTGAATGTGTCTTACAGGAGGATTTGTTGGTATTGAGGAAAACAGTGAAATCCTTTTTGGCTGTTTGCCAACAGTGCCTATCTAATGTTAATACTCCAGTGAAGGAACAGGTAAGAAATTATCAGTTAAGAGCTCTCAGTAAAAATAACTAAATTCATTGAAGAACAGTAAGAAGATGTAAATTTTTTATGACAGTTCTTAACATACAGATCTATCCCTAACATTTATGGAACCTGGGACAAAAATATGGATGTCTGAATATTTAACTTAACAAAGCAAGCTAACAGATTTGTTTTATGTCTTTTTATCTAGACAAATACACTATCATAATGACCTGGTTCCATAATTCCTGATTCCTGGGACTTCTATCCCAAAACTGGGAGGGTTGAAGCTGGCCTGTGGTCCACCCTCCTCTGACCTTACCCTCTTCTCATCACACCAGGAAGAACTTCTCACACATGCATGTAAACACTTCAGCCCATAAATCCAAACTGTCAACATTATCCCCTCAAACAGCCACCCTGAGACCTGGAGTACACACACAAATGATATAGTCTCCCCAGAGAAGAGGGCTGTGCAGGCTTTGATAGCAGAATCAGGTCTCTTAGGGCAAGGAATCCCTGAGTCCCTGTACTTGGATAGTAGGAGTGCAGGTGGATATATCCCACTGGTTTAGCAGACTCCTCAATCCTTGGGAAGGGCAGCACAGCCCAAAGAGGGTCAAAGCAGAGCCCGAGGCAGTACTGTTTCCATGAAGCGATTTTTTAAAACTGTTTAATTATACTATTCTTCTGGTAAGTACTTTTATATACTGTTTTATATAAAAACTTCTGTATACTGTTTTATATAAAAGAATACTTTTTTCCATATTGTTCTTTTCATCGTAATGTTGGACTAGAAAATGTCTAGTTAATTAGAATACTGTAGTACTCACATTTTGCTATCCCTTCTAAGTAGGTTATCACATCTATTAGTTATCTATTAAGTTATCAGCATCTAACTTAAATGGGAACAGAGATGGTCTTCTCTAAACCTTACTCTCTAAACCTGCTGAACCCCATCAGTGAGTGCTGTCTAAAACTACCTAGCTTAGGACATTTAAACCAAAAATTCATTGTTTGTGCATCATCATTGGTGATGTCCAAAACTGTGGCCTGCCTCTCCCTCTGCCTCTGCCCCTGCCCTCTGCCCTCTGCCTTGCCCTCACCCTCTCCCTCCCCCTCTCCCTCCCCCTGGATTCTCCCTCTCCCTCTCCCTCTCTCTTTCTCTCTCTCTATATATCCATCCCCCTGGATTCTCTTCATGCTCCCCTTTTCAAGTGGCTCTTTCTGAATATCTTTAGACATTTAGTAGTTCATGGTGGTGTAGTCAGAGCATGAACTGCCATGATTCTTGCTGGAGGTAGACAGCCAAGTATGCCCTCATCTCCAAATACATACCAAAATTGTGTTTTCCCATAGAAATCAATATTTAGAACAGGGTAAGTGAATTGTTTTGAGTTACCAGAGCCCTCGATTATCCTACAACAAAATCATTCAGTTACAGTAAACTGATAACACAGACTCATTTCATACCATCCATTAAATAGGGCAAATTTGACAACATTATCATACTGTTTCTTTAGGAAATGTATTGAAAATTCCCTTATGTGATTAAACTTGTGGCAAGCTTTCATATAGTGATTTTTATGTGAATGGTCTTAAATTCAATTTTAAACCTACTGAAAGATTTTTTTTTTTTAAGTTTATTTTTGAGAGAGAGAGAAAGAGCACAAGCTGAGGAGGGGCAGAGAGAGAGGGAGACACAGAATGTGAAGCAGGCTCCAGGCTCTGAGCTGTCAGCAGAGCCTGATGCAGGGCTCAGACCCATGAACCATGAGATCATGACCTGAGCTGAAGTCAGACACTTAACCAACTGAGCCACCCAGGCGCCCCCACGTTAGATTTTTTTAAAGCAGAATCCTTAAATAGTAGCTTTAAGATTTAGAGTACTGCATTGTAATTTGTTGAATAATACAGTTTGTCTTAAGATTTATGCTTATTATTTGATTAAGAAGTGTATGATTGATTTCTGTCCTCTGTCATAATTTATTCTGTTCATTTTGTATTTCCACAATTAGCTTTAAGTCATTTTTCTTAACTTCAAGTCAAAATCTCTTAACTGTTTTGAGTTAATACAGCTATGTAAAAGAAATAGATTATGTTTAGGGAGGAAAAGTCTTAAATGGGACTAGTATTTAATGAGAAAAAGTATATTCAATAAGTTTGGAAAT